CTTGCAAAATAAGCCCCAAACTGACACAAGCACCCAACAGCTTTTCTTCTCCAGTTCTGCCTCTTATGCTACCAGCAACAATCCTCTGGTGGGCCTCCCATACCCAGCACCATACTGGTTCAGTTCAGATGGGTGTTACACGTTGACCACCAGTTGTCAGTCCACCACATGCTCCATGTTCTCCTCATGGAACACTAGTTCACACCGTGTTCGCTCCTTGCAACACTTCTTCACCTCAGGTGCTCTGTGCTCTTCGCTCTGAACATGCAAATGATCTCCAGATCAGCCTCAGAGTGTACTGAGGGCTCAGTCATCCCTTGCTAGAGAACAGTTGGCCTGGGGCCATCTTGCAGAGGGGCCAGCTGAGCTCAGAAATTAGAGCTGCTGGTGACTCCATCTAGCACCTCCCACTGGGCTCAGGCTGAGGAAGATGTGCTGATAGTTGCAGGCCAACTGAGTTGGGTTTTGGCCAGAAGGTGCAGGCTTCCTGAGATTATCCATTACCCTGCCAAAAAGCTATTGTGGGCTTGCTTTTATAAATTAGCATGAATCAGGACTCTGTCTCCACATGTTATCTACAAGGGACAGCAGAGACAAACCTGAAGTGGACTTTTTTTTCTCTATCTCTCTCTTGTTTATTTTTTGTTGTGGTGGTGGTTTTGGTTTTGGTTATTTTTCTCCTTCATTGTTTGATCTTGTTTTTATATGAATGTGAACCTGGTTTCTGGCCTCTTTGTGGTTGTAGTTCTGTTTTCTTCTTTTTCTCTTTCTCTCCAGTCTTTTGCACCAGTTTCCCAAAGTTAGTGTGATCCCCTTTTGTCCTTCAGCCTTACTTCTAATCTCTTCCTTTTCTTCTACCTCTGTATTTTTTCCCTAACCCTTTTTAAATCTTAATGTCAGGGTAAAATTGACATACTAAGGACTTATGTACTGCATATAATTTTCTGGTCTGTTTTAGATTTTGTTACACAAACACAAATCTAGTTCATATGGCAAATTAATGGTTACCTCAGTTTGTCATTTTCTAGGCTATAACTGATGCTACTGTTATTGCTGATGGTACTACTTTGACCAAAAGTGACATAATTATTCTAAACAGCTATTCTACCTGGTATTCTAAGACTAAGATTGACCAAAGGTCATAGAAAATACTGTGGCAGAGTGTCAAACAACCAGGGGCTGGGCCAAATAGGCAGCAACTTGTCATCCCCAACAAATTGAGGAGGTAGGATCTTGCAACAGACTCAAAACCCAAAAACCAGCTACACCTGGAAGATACCTTAGAGTAGTCATTTCCTAAGGGTTTGAAATACTAGCAATAAACCAACTCACCATAGGCATCACTCCAGGAATTAAACTAAAAAAAGAAGATAAAAAGGAAAAGACACTTAAATAAGATGTAATACCAGACATTCAGTTCACCAAAGGCAAACTCAGGGTGCAGTGAGGTGGGACAATTCAAAAGCCACCCACCTGGCCTCTCTGAAGTGATAAAAACAAAACAAATGAGGCTCTAGAAAAAATAAAATCAGAAATAATTGCTCAGATAACTGCAGAGATAGTGTCCACAATGAAAACCATGCTTAGTTACTCTAGAGCAGATACAGAAAATAGAGGAACTTAAGAAAATTATGGAAGCAATGAATGCTTAGCATAGGAAAGAAATAGAATTCATGAGGCAGATTCA